GCTACGCCGTTGGCTGCGAGGTACATCATGGCGGTAAGGGCGGAGGAGAAGATGATGTTTTGACCAGAGTTGAGGAAGGCGAGGGAGGTGGCGACCTTGATGGACGCCTTCTCGTAGTCTTTCAGAGCCTTGTCGTAGCGGCCGACTTCGTACTTTTCGTTGTTGAAGTACTTCACTGCCTCGTAGTTGATCATAGAGTCGACGGCGACCGTCGCGGCCTTGTTATCTGCGGCGTTGGCCTGCTTCCTGAACTTGGTGCGCCAGGAGGTGGTCATTATGGTGAAGACAGAGTAGGCGGTCATGGTCGTGCCTGTGATGAGAGCGAATTGCCAGCCGTATTGGTATGTTAGAATACCGCAAACCAACGAGATTTCTAATGCCGTAGGAAAGATATGGAACACCATGGCGGTCAACAAGAAGCTGATGCCCTTGGTACCGCGATCAATGGCGCGCGTCAAGCCTCCTGTTTGTCTCGATAGATGGAAACTCAGGTCCAACCTCAGCAAATGATCATAGACACTGCAAGCGACTTTACGAATAGCCTTCTGAGCGACACTGGCAAAGACGGCATTGCGCAGTTCCTGGGAAACAGTGGCGCCAATACGAGTCATTCCGTCTGAAGGGAGTCTCAGCCAGGGTGGACATGGGATGCATTGTTGGGTCTAGCTTACATGCGATGATCATAGAGCCTGCCACTGTGGTCGCTGTGCCGCCAACAGCCGCAAAGTCTATGTTCATGGCGTCTACAATGCTCTTGAAGTAGAAGGGGACTTGGACGTTCAGCAGCTTTGCGCCTACCAGCAAGCCCAGACTGATGCCGACCCTGAAGCGCGTGCCCATGTTGTCCTTTGGCCACAGGTATGCCGACATCTCTTTCATAATGGCCCAGTCAGCCTTGCGCTGCTCCTTGTTGGTCAGGACCTGCTCCTGCAGCAATGGGTCCGTCTTTGCGACTTTGGCCGCGGCGGGGTCGGCGGCAGGTTTGGTGGCTTCGATGGCGGGCTTGGAGCCGGGCTTTGGCCGCTGACCGTGTGCATCCTTTCTGTGTAGCGGAGAGCAGGTGAATACGCGAATGCCGTGGTGGAGAGGATGCGGGCGCAAACTGGACGATCGAAGACCCGGCCGACTGGCGGCGCGGGCGAGTGGTTGGATTAACATGGCGATGTCACATGTTAGGTCTCTTCACCGCTGTCACAGGAGAGAGAAGCTATGGAGAGCTTCAATGGCGGAGGAGGACAAGATGACAAGAGTGTTTGCTGTGAGTACCTGGAGACATGCATCCCACGTTGTCTAGCGCGTTTTGGGCGGCAGGGCTGAAGCGAGGCGTTCTTGCATCATCGCTGCTCCGAGCTTCACCAGAACATCTTCGCCGCCCGTCACGCGCCAATTGCCCGGCACAGCCATGTTACGACCGGCTGCCTCGCCCTGGAGGAACTTCTCGCCCACATCCGCCGCTGCCATACGGCGGACGCCCGTTGCTGCGCGATGCATCAACATATCAGCCACCAGCTCGTCAAATGAGCCCGCGCTGCAGCAGGCAGTCAGTGTTGAGGGCACCGCGACGCCCATGCACACACCAGGTAAGAAGTCGATATAATCAAATAAACCACAACAAGACTAAAGAAATTGTCAGACGCCCGATTCGAAGTAATTGGTACCCCATTCTCCCTCCTCTCCGTCTCCCTCTCCGCCTCACAGACGCTCTACACCCGCCGCGGCACACTCGTCGGCCTCAGCGGAAAGTCGGAAAACACGCTATCAACCCTCTCCTTCCTCGAGCCCCTCCAGAGAGCCCCCGTCGGCATCCCCTTCCTCTACCAGAAAGTGTCTTCGACGAGCCCCGTCACAGCTCTCGTCTCTACAAAGGCGCCTATATCGAGCATCGTATCAGTCAATATGGACGGAAGAGACGATTGGATTGTTAGCCAACGAAATGCATTGCTCGCCTGGACTGGCCACACTCTCAAGTTGAAGCCGCAGTACAATGTAAAGTTGGGGCTGGCACACTGGGGAAACACATATATTACAGGCAGGGGGTTACTTGCGCTTGCAGGAAGTGGGCAGATATACCAGGTCCAGGTCAAGGCTGGCGAAAGCTATGTTGCGCATCCCAGGTATGTTGAGACGACAGAAATACTCAGGACTTTACACTGACAGCATTGTAGCAACGTCGTAGCGTACACAGCCTCCAACACCCCACCAATCCCTTTCAGGTTCAAGTCGTCGAACCTCCGCTTCCAAGTGCCAGACCTTGGCTTTGGCTCAATGGTCCAGAATACCAAGTTCTTCCGCACCATGAGCAAGACAGGCACATGGCGCGCTCTGGCGACCACATATTACACTCTCAAGACATGGCTGCGGAGAACAGTCTGGGGCGATAGGGTAAGACCAATCCCTGTACAACATTGTTTTTGCGAATGCTAACACCACATAGTTATTCCTCCGCTTCGAAGGCCCAACCACCATGCTCATCCAGTCTCGCGCTTCCCGAATCAGCGATGTCCTTACTTTAAGAAACGTTGACGAGATCGCCGACAGCCCACCAGGCGCCGTTGAAGACGCCGCCACGCGGAAGATCAAAGAGGAAATCAAGTCAATAGGAGAGGGCACAAAAGCACCGATACCCAACACAGATGCATCGGGCACAATACGGTATGCCACCGTGAAAGATGGCAAGGCTGAGTTTGAGAAGCCCAAGGTAGAGGAGGTGAAGGTATAGAGCATCTGTACTGTATGTATATTTATGACATGGACCTGTGCAGTGTGGTCTCAAACAGAAGGCCCTGCTGTGTGATTTGAAGTGCTCATACCTAACGTGGGTGAACTATGCATATATCAACCATTTTTGCTTGATAAGAAAGGCACGAAGTTCATGAGTATGGGAGGAAGTATGGTTTGTTGTGGGAAAGGACCACTGCTGACTTTGAAATGGCGTGTCAAACGTCAGCAACGTGATGTCGGACGCTAGATCGTCTAGCGTGAACGCGACATCTCCCAGCCACTGTCCGCATCGCGTCCACCATCTCGCGTTCGCGACAGACGCTGGCCTCCGCGCGGCATCACAGTCAAGACGCGTGCTGACTACGCCGCAACCACCGCTATGGCGGGGTATACCTGCGCATGCGTCTTGTATGACTGGACAGCATGTGCCATAACACGCGACATCACGCGCGAGGCCTGCTTTTCCACCAAGGGCTACCGCCATCAAATCAGGCAAAGAGACCAGGTTGAGACTTCACACTGACAAACCGAAAGCTTCATTGTTGACGCTAGCTCACATCGACGCTTCACTACTTCGACCCTACTCCACAGATTTAGAAGATGCAGACACAGCCGAATTATTTGAGCAACGATCATGTCCTCACCAAAGACGAAACTGCGCGAAACATGACAGAGATCGAAGCAAAGATATCCACTCCAAGTACAGAAACAGCTGTTCCATACACAGTCTTCACCAAGGCCGAGCGGCGCATGATTACATGGTTGATCGGATGCAGCATGTTCTTCTCACCATTCACAGCCAACATCTACTTTCCATGTCTTGAAGAACTCCAACACGCTGTGGGCGTCAGTGCCAGTCTAATCAACCTTACCATCACGACATACCTCATTGTTCAAGCAATCGCACCAGCCTTCTGTGGAGACTTGGCCGACAATCTCGGACGACGACCTGTGTACCTTATCACTTTCGCTATATACGTCTGCGCGAACCTGGGTCTCGCTCTTCAGCAGAACTATGCTGCTCTGATGGTCCTGCGTGGCGTCCAGAGTTTCGGCTGCTCCGCAACGGTAGCTATCGGGTACGGAGTCATTGCCGATGTAGCAACGCCAGCCACTCGGGGAAGCATGTTAGGGCCTGCAATGATTGCGACAAATCTCGGTCCGAGCATAGGTCCTCTAGTCGGCGGTGTAATGGCATCAAGAACTGGATACAGATGGGTGTTCTGGTTGCTATTAATTATTGGAGCTGCTTTCCTGGTCATGCTAAGCCTTGTCTTCCCTGAGACTGGGCGCAATGTCGTAGGAAACGGCAGTATTCCAGCACCCAAATGGAACATGCCTTTGTTGCAGTCAAGCCGGCAGCGACAGCTAGAAGCATGTACAGTACAGAGGGCTTGGAAGAAGAGAAGCCTCATACCCAACCCCTTCCAAGCTCTGCTGGTTTGTTTTCGCCGAGACACCGCTGCAGTCCTTTCAATTAGTGCCGTCTACTACGCCGCTTACTACTGCATCCAAGCATCCATCTTCGCCATCTTCACGGAAATCTACGGTCTCGATGAGCTCCAGGTTGGTCTATGCTACTTTTCTATAGGGACTGGTGTCATCCTTGGTGGTTACATTAATGGGAAACTAATGGACTACAACTACCGCTTTACAGCCAAGGCGAATAACATCACGGTCGACAAGGTCGCTGGTGACGACCTGGTCAAATTTCCCATCGAGAAGGCACGCTCTCGGTTGTCGTGGCTTCTGATCCCGACATCGACTGCAGTCGTTGTGGGGTATGGATGGGTCTTGCGCGAAGAAATTGTATGCCACCTCCACTACATATGATTGCACCACTGACGGTCATGCAGCATATAAGTGTACCACTGATCTTTCTGTTCGTGCATGGATTTCTCGCTACATGCATCTGTCAGGTAATTGCTTTCACACTGTACAACCGGCAGCAGTATTGACAACATTCCAGACGCACAACACCCTCATTGTGGACATTTCTCCGCAGAACACAAGCACTGCCGCTGCAGCAGGTAACATCACACGATGCGCTCTTTCAGCAGCAGCTGTTGCCGCAATGCAGCCTCTTCTGGAAGTGATGGGCAAGGGCTGGTTCTTCACGGCTCTCGCCGCAATCTCTGGTGTACTCAGTGCCATCGCAACAATCTTCATTCGACTCAGAGGTATGGCGTGGCGCAATGAACGGCAAGCACATGAGCGGGACGGATGTACGCAAGGAATGGCGCATAGAAGTGAGGGGAAGTGAGGTGATGACTTCTCCCCTACAACTTCGCGGTCAACTTCCGAGAATCGCGCTTACCCTTTGCCTTATTTGCAGCGACATACCCCTCGTATCCATCTGGAAACTTGGTTACTAGGCTTCGCATCCCCTCAATCGCCCTACATTTGGTCAATTCACGCTCTAATATCAGCGAGGCTCGCGGCTTACAACTGTCGAGTAGTCTTGTTCTGTTTCCAGCAACATGAGACTACAAGATTGTTCCGACTTGTTCGTTAGCGTGACCATGCGCTATAGAACGTCGCAATACTCACACTGCGTAGAGTTCGTTCCTGTCGTCGTAGTCCTCCTGCGGCTTCGATGCAGGGACGATCTCAAGATACGCGTCCAGATGTGTCTTGTTAAAAGCATACCTCGTAGCGCGCCACGGCGCCGCTTCGAACTCATGATGCCCGAAAAGGCATCCTGCGTCGTATAACATCGGACTTCCCGTCTTCTTGTCGACGCTGACATTACCATGCCACATGTCGCCGTGTAAGAGGACAGGTTTGATCTTGTTACCACCGCTTTCCATAGGACGAAGGAGCCGAGGAACTACCTTCGTCATAAGATCGGCGCATAGAGCATCCATTTCCGGATCTTCACCTTGGATGGAACGCTCCAGTCTTATGAGATAGCGTAAGTTACGGCTGAAGTACTCTTCCCAAGTATCGCACCATCGGTTGTGATTAACGACGTTTCCCTGGAAGGCTGCAATCTCGCGTCAGATCCCAAGGTATCATCCGCGCACAACAGAATACCTACTGTCGATATGAAACCCGAACTTCCCTGTTGGCGACTCATTACCATGCACTTCAGCCAGTACGCCAATAAACTCCTCGACAAAGGGCTTAATAGATGCGGCTGTGGCCTTGTCCGCATACACAGGCGCATCTTCCATATCGCAGAAAGACTGGAGATAGAAGAATCGTTGCGAGTCCGATGCGAAACAACCATATGCACATGGTTGGGGCACGTGGTTCGGTACCGCGGCGTACAAAGCAGCTGTTGACTCATACTCTGCTTTGACCATGTGTTTCGCGTTTGCATCGCGGTATTCTTTCAGGAAGAACGATTGTGGTCTGCTGGAGATGGTAGTGTCGATCTTGGTTAGTATCGACCAGTGCGTTGCACCTATCGTGCGGACTAGGTCTATGCTTGCGCCCTTTGGTAATGCTGGAAGGAGCTGTGAGCGTACGGTCTCATTGCTTTGGAGTGCTGAATTACTTACCGGCAACGATGTTCTCGTCGATATACTTGCCTTCGTACTTGTCTTGCTCTTTCAGAATAGCCTGGGTAAAGCTATCGGGTATTTTGACCATGTTGAGATAAGGTGAAGGGTGTCGCAGGACTACTCAAAGTATAGTAAGTGCTATCGAGTCTCTTTTAATAGTCTTTGCGCGCACTCGGGGTGATAACGTGCGCGTTTACTAGAAGCGGATGAGAGACTGCTGCGTTGCACGAAGAGGGGTCCAACTGTGCCGCGTGGGCTGACACTACGGTATGACGGCATCAGCCGAGGGGGAAAGCACGTGGGAGTACTCGTGACTCGGTTACATAAGGTGCGACAGCAAATTGGTAAAAGTAGTAGAAATTTGTGTGCGGCACTCGGTCCACGATCCACTTTCTATGTCGAAAAGTCGCGTATTCTTCTCGACACTTTCGAAGTTTCACTGGCAAAGGTTCCTGTCGGTTATGCATTTCTCATTCGAGAATACCTTCGCGTGTGTAGAAGAGTAATGATCTGTGGAAGTCTGAGTGGCGCGTTGTTCTGCGTCATCGCGGTACCAGCTAATAAAGTGCATTGAGGGTTACTCGCAAAATGTTTGGATTGCGGCATGTCACTTCTTTATGCGATAGTCTCAACTAAGGATGCGTTGCTTTGGTAGACAAGACGCAAAACTTGCTGAGGTTATCACTGGCTCCTACGTGAGTCAAAGTGTGTGGGAACGTGGTAGCAGCTCAACTCTATGGCCAACCACAACTATGGCATAGTAATGATCAATAAATTTCAAGCAGTAGTGCACGGATGTGCTTTGGGCTGAGCTTAAAGCATCAAAAAGGTATATAAAGAAATTTTCGTCTGTCAGTCCTGCAAACCTCTTAACATCCACACTCGACGCACAAATAAACCGCATATACCACACAAAAGCCACACAAAAGCCACGCAAAAACCACGCAAAAACCACACAACAATCAGTATTAAACGACACCTAAAATATCACTCAGACCACACAAAAGATGGGATCACAAGAAGCAAAAATGACCACCCCAACTACCTTCACCCGCTTCCCCGATCTCGCAACAGAGCTTCAAGTCATGATCATAAACTACACTCTAGAGGAGGATATGGCGCAGCGTGAAGATGAACTAGTACTGCACCTACACGCACCTTCATCTTGCAAAACAAATGATAGCAGTGACGCCTCAACGTCCACCGCTCCTCGCACAACGATACGGCTACCCAAGCTCCCCTCCGTGTACCACACCAGCCGTCTATTCCGCAACGAAGCACTCCGCACACAGCCTCTGCATCAAGTCTTCACAGATGCCGCCGTTGCGACACTACATTCGCGCAGCTCGATGTTCGTGTACAATCCAGCGCACGACGCCGCCGTTATCTCTATCCACGAATGCCGTTTGAGAAGCCCTCCCTCCTCCGATTTTACGACACTCCATCACCGCGGGTCGATGGCTATCTACAACCCAGTGCACGACACGGTAGTACTCCAAGTCCACGAATGCTGTTTGAACAGCCTAACCGCCGACCTGTGGCAACTATTCCACGTCATCAAAGCGGCGCTCTGGGCCCCCGAGCGTTGGTTCGTTGTCGCGATAGTAGAGCGAACGAGAGTGCTTGGGGAGGGTTCACCCGGAGTATGTCTGGATCAGATGTGGTGGCTTTCGCAGGCCCTTTTCCGCGATATAGCGGAGCGTGCAGCAGCGCCTGTTACATGGGGGAACATTTGGGTTTTCCTCGGAGATGTTATAATTGGACGGCGGGTAGAAGAGAGGAGGAAAAGGATGATTGAGAGCTTTAAGCGGCGTGGAAGATCTTGGTCTCTTTAAATAGGCCTCTTGTATACTCCAGCCTCTATTAATCTAGCTTGGATTCTGTACCTTGTCTTCTCGTACATCTCAACGTCAACCATGGTGACCGCGTTTTCCCCTTGTAACAACTTCGTGAAATGCGCGGTGCATATTGCTGGTGGTATTGAGAGATCTTGTATTCGTTGTACCTATATGTTCGTAGTGATGCAAGCAAAAGCCCATGACCAACACATACAACACCAACGCAATCCCCATCTACAAGTGATCCATCTAACATATTCCAACCGAACCCGCCACCTCACTTCGCCTTCCCACCAGCCCTCTCCCTAATCCTCTCGTCCTTCTCAAACCTCTCCTCAAACATCCTATAGAACAAGCCAAGCCACTCCTTCTCGCGATCACTCAGCTGACGCGCAGGGTTCTTCCAGCTATTCGCCAGTATCTCCTTGATACGGCGTCTCAGCACCTTCAGCGCGACAGCAGCCCGCCATTCACGAACTGCGAAGCGGATGACATTGCCGGGTAGACTGATCACGCCTGCATGGAGCTTGAAGTCCATATCGGCAGCGACCATGAGCACCATGGGAAGTGGGTAGGCGATTGAGGTGGAGTGCGCGTTGTAGAACTTGTTGCTGGATTGCATGATGTTGTAGTAGGATAGGAAGTCGGCTGTTCGCGAACCTTTGTTGACGGAGGTTGGCCCTAGGCTGACGGTTTGGTTGTTGGAGATGTTTCGCCAGCCCTTGCCTTCGCGGGTGAGGATCTTGGGGTAGAATGCTGTGGCGATGACTGAGTTGACTAGAACGTCGTTGTCGGTGTGGATGTCGTATTGTGCTGGCACCTCAACGAAGACACGGTGTCGTGTCGTATTGCGGTAGCGGCCTATCGCGCGACGCTCGTCGGGCGTAAGTTGTATAAACCCGGCGTCAACCAATGACGAGAAGAGCTGCGCTTTGAGATCCTCGATGTTACCCAGGTTCTGCGGACTGAGAAAGTTCTTGTGGCAGAATTGCATCTCAGACCGTCCCGGGGTAGTGCATACTGCTTTCCAAGCCCTGTAGGCGTTGTAAGTTGTGAGAAGGTCGGAGTCGCCCTTCTTGAACGCAAGGCGAGCGATGTCAGCTCGTTGCTTTTGTTGGAATGGTGTCAAGAACGGAGACTTCGAAGAGACAATGGCAGCAATGGTGATAGCAACATCAACACATGCAAAAGTACTTGCAAGCAGCACAAGTTTGCCTAAGTGTGCGTCCAACGGAAGCTTCGCAATTTGCCGACCAAGAGGTGTTAGTTCTTCGCTCGGTGTTAACGCGTCGACCTCTACAAGTGCATCGATAGCGCGACGAATGTTCCTGGAGGAGGGTGGATCGAGTGCCTGAGCAAGGGTGGCTTCGATATCACCGAGTTTGCAAATCTTGACGCGCATGACCAAATCTTGGAGCGAAAGTCTGAGCATCTCGGGAGTTTGCTGTTCTGCCATGAGGCTGTCGTGACGGAATTTTGTGAAAAGATGGAAGCACAGGCCCTCTTGTACACGGCCGGCACGACCACGGCGTTGCTTTGCGTTCGCTCTCGAGATGAAGGACTGAGTCAGACGTGATAGCTGTCTGCGCTCGTCAAACCTCATCTCCTTATGCTTACCGGTGTCGACAACACAGGTGATATCCGGGATCGTGACTCCGGTTTCGGCGATGTTGGTAGCGAGCACGATCTTGCGTACGCCCGGGGGTGGAACAAGGAACGCAGCTTGCTGATCCTCACTCGAGATAGTAGAGTGTAGCGGGTACACATACCAGTCAGCCTTGAAAGAAGGATGACTGGCCAGTATATCGTTGAGTTGACGAATCTCAGCAAGTCCCGGGAGGAAAACCAAGATAGCGCTGCTGAAGCGACTCAGCTGCGGATCAAACGCGACAGTCTCGATCAGTCGTGTGATCAGGTCGTAGTCAATGGCATACTCGTCGTAGTTAGAGAGCACATCGCGTGTTAATTGGCTGTAACCTGGAAGCTTGTTGGGGACACCGGATTTATCGCTCGTAATCCCGTCATCCTCATCGTTGTCGCTCGTGGCGGCAGCTTTGGTGGCGTCGGATGCTCCAGCGTAATGCGTCAACTCGACCGCATCCTCCAGGTATCGAGTCTGAACCGGGAAGGTGCGACCTGGTACTGTCAGGATCGGTGCGTCGTTCAGGTACCTGGAGAAGCGTGCGGCATCTACCGTGGCACTCATTAGTATGACCTTAAGTTCAGGTCGGCGTTCCATGAGTGACCGAAGTATGACCAGAAGGAAATCCGTGTCGATGGATCTTTCGTGAACCTCGTCAATGACCAGATGTGTGACCTCTTGTAAGCCTCCAGATGACTCTAGCATTCGTAATACCACACCTACCGTCGCGTACACCAAGCGAGTCTGGGAGGAAGTCTTTGACTCGAGCCGAATCGCGTATCCGACAAGTGAACGTATGGATCCTAGATCTTTAGGCCCTTCGCCTAGTTCTTCGCTTACACGTTGAGCAAGCGAAATCGCCGAGATACGTCGGGGCTCGGTGCAGTAGACTTTGCATGCCTTGCCTTGCGATAGCTCGTGCTCGAGGACGAAGGCGGGAATTTGCGTACTCTTTCCGCAGCCAGTCTCACCGCAGATTATGGTGACCTGATTCTTGTCCACAGTAGATAAAATCTCATCTCTAAAGTTGAAGACTGGGAGATTCATTCGACCAACGAGCATGCGCTGGTATGATAGGGTTGATGCTTTGGCGAACCATTGCTCTCTTAGGCCGTCGTAGTGCCGTACCGGTGTGCTATAGCCAGAGTTAGATGTGCTAGAGCTTGTCGCGGCCTGATTGCGCGCCTTGAAGCGATTTGTAAGCACGACACCGTCCGACTCTTCGTTCTCGATCTGATCTTCAATGATTGAGCGATAGTGCTTGACGGCATCACGGTCTGCCGCATCTAGGCGTGTTTTCCGACGCTCCAAGAACTCCCTGTAGACCTCTCTCCAGTTCGACGGAAGGCGCAGATATACCTTTTCTTCCTTAAGCAGAGACGCGGATATTGAGAAGAGGGCTGCGACTGAGATAAAGCTTTCACTCTGCTCAACGGATACAGCAGCAATTTCTTTCGCTGCCAGCGTGACCTGCTTCCTGTACGGAGTACAGTCCACACCGGAAATTTCTGTGTCGTACTCGAAGTCTTGTTCCTTAGACCAGAAGATTGTCAGCGAGTGCCGGCAAGTATACGTAGTAGGCGAGATCATTTTATAAGTCAAGCGTGC